TGTTCTTCTTTCAATTCTAAGTGTCATCACGATGTCAATGTAGAGATGTTAACTTTCTCTTAGGTAGAGATTATGAAGAGTGAGGTAAATCTCCCTTGCTACAGATGCAGCTAAACAGGACTCCATTTGGGATCCCAATGGCGAGGGTAGATATTATATTTTAGAATATAAAAAAGGAAGGGCATGATGACAGGATTAGGATCTGGGAAAAGAAGATAATATATTTTAGACAATCTACAACTCAAGAATAATGCGATATGCAGATCAGAAACCCCCTAGAGCATGTTAAACACAAGAATGTCTTCATCCTGGTGAACCAGATAAAGTTTTCTGGTTAATAAAAGATGAAAGTTGTCTACTGTACTTATCCCAGAATCTAAATGCGTTTAGGCATTCATTAGTGAGCTAAATGTCTTCATATCTTTGTAGGTGTACTTATTGCTTTATTGCTGTTCAATTGCTATGAAAATTCTAACCATTATTCTTATCTTTGATTCTGTTTTCAGCAGATACCATCAGAGTACTGCTATTACTGAGCTTAACAGAAGGAAGCAATGCCAGCTGTGCCTTTTGGGCCATAAACACCAGAAATGTAGCTCACATACAAGGCATAGATAGAAAATTTTTTTTAAATAGTATTGAAAATTCCTATAAATATAATTTCTTTTCAAGAAAACAAAACAAAAACATTTTATTGGGTAAATGTCTACACTTTCTTTATTTTATGGTCTACTGATAGCTGGATGACCTAATTGTAAGTTACAAGCCTTTGGTGGAGAAGAATCAACAGAGGAACTTAGTTGGCAACTGTCCCATGTCTAGTCTGGGACCACAACTGCAGCTGATTTGATGGCCATCTAAGACACTATTCGTGAAAATAAAAACTGATGCACATATTTTCATGTAAATGTCTTATACCTTAAATACCTTAAATAGTAATATTCAAGGCACATTTGCAATGGCAGCATTGATTCAATTCAACAAATAAATTTAGAGTAATAACTCAAGTGCACTAGGCAGAGACCAAGACCAATGAGCTCAGGCAGACCATCTCCATTCCTGACAGGGACTCCTTCCAACACTGGTCATGTACAACATTTATCTCTAGATGCCACCATTGTATTGAGAACATATGAAATACCAAGACTTCCACCCTCAAGGGCAGTGGCATTCCCCCAGAACATCTCTGCCTCATAATATCTGTAGCAGTTCAAGTTCTAACTTTCTTCAGGAAATTTCAATTTGCAATTTTTTAGAAAATAAATGCCCTATCACTTAACACTGCTACTGGAAGATAACATTTCAGTGATTACTTGGTGTAGACATTTTATTATTCAATATTAAAGTCCCATCAGAAATCCCTAGCCTGATAAGCTAAAAATGAGGTTTGAAAATAAAGCACCTGGCAAATTTGATTTGCAGTAATCAAAATGGCATTTTGTCAGATGGGAACTAATTATTAACCTGACATGATTTCAATCTGCTGCCATTTTATGAAATGAGATCTGTTTGCTCTCTATAAAGATGATCAGGCTTGCTGCTCCTTAGCTAGACACCCAGTTTCACCTATTCTCACAAAATTCTTCTATTATGCAAACGGGTGGTAAAGCAATTACATGCTCCAAAAGATTGAGATGAGAAATTTCACATTCACAAACTTGTCATGTTCACCTCTTAAAGTGTAAATTCTTGCCGGATGGTAAGATGCCTTTTTAAAAAAAATTTCATACAGTCACCTAATGGCCTGAGGAAGCACCCTCTCTAAAGGCAGTTTCCTAAATTCGATGAGAACCCTGACAGGACTCTAAGGCTCTGCCCAAAGACTGCACAATAAATAAAGGTAACACTTTCATTTACAGAAGGGAATGCACATGTCTTCAGGCTTTTCAAGGATACTTAGGGGCAACTGCTGGACCCCAGGCCATTACCAAGTTAAATGCTCCAAGTGAACGTGAATGAAGTTTTAGCAGAGAACGGAGGGAGGGGAAAGTGGAACTTAAACAGGAGCTATTTCACCCCTGCGTGATTGAGGATGCTGTTGAGATCTCCACAGATAGAAAGAAAAAATATCTTTTACCACTCCGTGCCAGGAAATGGGTTACCTGCCTCTCATTTAACACTCTCACATATAATTCTCCTCAGTTTGCCAACAGAGGAGGAAACAATCTTGGGAATGCCCTATAAATTTCCTGTGGTCTTAAGTCAATAAGCAGGGCTCTCAGAGATTAGTTTTTTCTGTCACTTTTGGTTGCCTCTGCTAGAGTGGAAAGAGAAACATAAGAAAGCATATTTTCTATAAATATTTATCCTCCTCACATATGTTGAAAAACCCTACATAGTATTATTATTAAGAAGCCACATTTATCTTTAAATTACAACATTTTATTTTAAGTTTTAGAAATAAATCAACTAAATATAAGAGAAAGTTGATTATGGTTATGAAAGGAAGTCAGAGGATGAGGGAAGGGGAAAACTAAGTTGTTCTCCTGTCTTATAATATGTGGTTCTTCTTTGTGGGGCTTCACTGAAGGAAACAGAAGCCTCGGGAGATAGGTAATGAAGTACTGAGGAAGTTCCTGACAGAAAGATTTTGCTGCAGATTGCTGCTGAGGGGAAATCTCCCACATGTTATGACATCCAGAGAGCAGAGCATGCTTTGTGAGTCAGTGCATGAATAAGACTTTGTTCTCCCCAGCACAATTGCAGCTTGTTTAGTTTACAAACACAAGTTGTCTTAGCAATCAATCCGTATTCCCAGCAGGTAAGGGCCCAGCCCCGCGCTCTCTCCTGCAGCTGCACACCCAGCTCACGGCAAGTGAGCACTCATCCACTAAGAAAAAGACTGGGCCATCGGGGAGCAGTTATTCCCATCTCCACCATGGTTCTGACAGGGGAGGATGGATGTAAAGTGAGAAAAATATCCTCATGTTGTACACAAAATTGAAGAAACTTTAACTCAAGGTTTACGAGGAACCCCAAAATGTTACCAGAATAGTCTATTCTGGCTAGGCCATGGTTCTCAGATAGTTGCTCAAATGCTAGCCTAGATGTCGCTATGAAGGTATTTTTTAAGATGAGGCTAACATTTAAATCAGTAGACTTTGAATAAAGCAATTACCCGCCATAATGTGGGTGGGCCTCATCCAATCAGTTGAGGACCTTACCAGCAAAGACTGAGGTTTCCCGAAGAAGAAAAAATTCATCTCAAAAAACATAACACAGAAATCCTACCCAAGTTGCAGCCTGCCAGCTTCCCCTACCGATTTTGGACTTGCCAGTCCACATAATTGCATGAGCCAGTTACTTAAAATAAATGTCTCTCTTCTCTCTGCCACCCACCCTGCTCCCCCCAGCCCATTTCTAGGGAGAATTCTGACTACTAACACTGTTACCAAGCAGATTAAACACCCTCATTTCCTCTGTATTTCAGAACAGAAAGGAAAGAGGTACTTGGCAAAATACCAATTGCTTAGAAAATCAGAGAATTAAGAGTCTATGTGAAAAAAGACTTTTCAACACCCTTCAAATGCCAAGTTGCATTTCCCACTAGCACCTTTAATGAATTTGTGAATATGGAAAGCTCTGGGTCAGGTACTGGGGCAGCAGAACCAGGAGCATCTACATTGGAATCTGGGCTCTGCCCCTTTCTGTGTGTGTGGCCACAAACACACAACTGAAACTGTAGCAGCAACTCAACCCCTGGCTTAAATGTGGCACTGAAAGGACCAGAGACGTGAAGCACCCAGCTCAGAACCCAGAAAGATTCATGCTCACTAAATGGCAGCTTAGGGTGACTGCTGCTGGTACCAAGTTATTAATAAAACACACTTCCTCCCAGCCCTAAGAGGAAAAGAGACATATACAAGGATTAATTAATACAATGTTTTAAAGAACACAAAGGTAATATTTGGGTGACTGTTGGAATACAGAGGAAGGGAAGCAGAGTCAGCCCCAGAAGCAGAGGTTTTCCAGCTGAGGTGGGGTGACAGGGAGCAGGCATTCCAAGAATAGGGCACTGCACAAGCAAACCCAGGGTCAGACAGAACCAGGTACTGGCCAGCCACGCTAACTGGCCAGGGACATGTGTGGGGACTCATTGTGCTGGGAAGTATTCTAAAGGGCAAGCTCATGCAGGGACAAAGACTTGGGCGGAATAGAAATGAGAGAAAAGAAAGAGTTGCCCCATGCATTCTTTTCAGATTGCACTAGCAGCTTGTGCAGACACACACTTTGACCAGTGGCTACTCGGACTTCTAGGCATTAAAAACTTCCATAATTATTAACTTAGATAATGGCTTTCTCCTCTAAAAGTACAATCCCATGGGCATGGGGTGAGAGATGGGAAAGAATAGTGGGGAGGAATCTAAAATCCTCTAATAAAATATCTTTTGTTAATAAGCTTTCACAAAAAAAAAAAAACCTTCCATAATTAAAAAGCTGTACAAATGGAGAAAGTATTTGGAAAACAAACAATGAAACTTTTGAATGCTTACACAGGGAGCCAGAGGTGTACCATACTGTGCACTGAGTAAGAATTTTAACAGATGGCACAATTCTGAATGTACTGCATGGTGCTTTTCATGCACATTAAAATGAAAATGCATATTTTGTTAACTTAAGCACACAGTAGTAAGAGAGATGCAATACAGTAAAAGCTCTGCAATGACTTATAGTAAATCGCTAAAAAAAAATTTAGCCTGTTATAAGATTAAGCCTGTTTTGAATTTTCTTAATCTTGCTTACTTGTATTTTCTAATTTTTCTACAAACATGTGAATGACTCATGAAAAGAGAAAAAGGTATTTTTTTTAAAACCCTGCCAAGCATATGGCTAAAAGAGAAAATGTGTCATAAACTATAAACAAAGGGAATTCACTTCTATTGACAAGTACGCCACATTCTGTGGGCTGACTTTGGCTTAGATGCAAAAGAAAAACTAACAGTCTTTTGAGATTGGGGAGGGGTGGGGGAAGAGCTTCATAATTTAACAGCAGCACGAACCTGGGTCACAGAGGCATTTGTAGCTGGTGCCCACACTGCGGCACGTGCCATGGGCACAAGGGCTGAGAGCACAGAAGTCCACAAGCTGGGTGCAGGCCAACCCCGTGAAGCCCGGGCTGCAGCTGCAGGTGAAGCGCACCCCGTCTGCGTAGCAGGTGCCGTTGTTCTGGCATGGCGAAGAGGCGCACGGGTCCACCTTTTCTTCACAAGCAGATCCAAAGTATCCTGGGAGAAAATGCACGGGAGCTTACAAAACTGAAAACACATTTGCACAAAATAACTAATCAACTGAGTCTGCAGATCTTAACGTCCCTTCACTGTGTATTGATTAACCAATTAATTTGTTCCCAGTTTCCAGACAGATCACAACCCAACAAGGTAGGGAGAGTGTTTTTCTTAGTTTTGGTTATAAACTAGGTTAAATACTAAGCCCTGTAACTCCATTTTTGTTGAAATATAAGATATATGACTGTTTAGGCATACATGCATATGTGTACATGAATTATTTACATGTACACATGTGTATGTGTCTATGTATACTCTAGAAAAATACCAAAAATAAATTAATGTTAATTACCTAAAGGAAGGTGGGATTTGGGTCAGCAGAGGGCTTTCCTCTCTTAATTTGTGTATGTTCCAGGGGAACATATTGCTTACTTTGCATTCATAGATAAGAAATAATCCTGAATTTTAAAAATTAAAACCACATCAAATAGTAAACAATAAACTCTTTACCATTCTTATCCCTTTGCCCCTCATTCCCTTCTCTACGAGTAGCCACAATAAACAGCTTCTGGAATAAATACTTTTTAAAAAGTTAGTTATTGCAACAAACAAAAGCAGTCTACCCATGCACGGGGAAAAGGAGCTAAGCTCTGACACGTGCTATGACATGGAGAACCCTCAAGAAGATTATGCTAAATGAAAGAAGCCACATACAAAAGATTGCATATTATATAAGTCCATTTATAAGAAATGTGCAGGGAAAGCAAATCCAGGGATATAGCAAGTAGGTAAGTGGTTGCCTGAGGCTGAACTGGGAAGAGAGATTAACTGCAAACGAGCATGAGGGGGTCTGTTGGGGTTGGTGGAAACGCTGCAAATGTACTAAAAAGCATTGAATTACACGATTAAAATAAATGGATTTATGATATACTAATTGTACACTTAAACAAATAAACTTTCTGTTATATAAAATTGTGTAAGGCTGTTAAAATGTTTCATTTTAACTGAGGCTATTGTGTAGGTCACTTATTTTGTTTTCTGTGTGTATGACTCAGTATTTCTTAAGTTAAAAAATTACACATATATACTTGCAGGTCTATATGTTTATATGTACATGTAGGCATCTAAATTTAACAAACCCTTGGATAAAACTATACTTATTTTAATACTTTAAGAACAGTTTGAAAATTAAAGACTATTCAAGTTTTAGAAATAGAAGTTAAATAATTTTACTCATATATAGTTTATATTCTACTAATCTATTTCACTTCTCTTATCCACATTTAAGTTTATATTTACCCATCTTCATACAGAACTCCTAGCAATATTGACAATTGGGGTTTTATTGTTAAGGGCATAGAGAATACATAAAACAAAAATAACTCCCAAATTTAATTATCTGAAGTAGCACTTATAAATCGGCATAATCAACTTGGTATTCTCTGTACAATACAGAAGTAGAAAATTCCTCTTCCAAAAAATCGAATGCTATTCAACATTTTACAAAGTTCTTTGTAGCTTTTAAATTTTACTAAAAATGTACCAGACAATCAGTATTAATAACACTTGAATTCTCCAAAGAGTGTTTTGGCAGCCTGGATGTAGAATATAATTTTATCCTGCATAAGATATATTCCACTTTACTCTGATTGAATAGCAAATACTTAAAATATGACAGTATTATATATTATCACTATTTAACATGTCATTTTCAAAAACAGAATTTAACATCTCAAATCTCTTAATTTTAGAACAAAATTAATTATTTTATCTGTCAGAGACTGCCTCACAGCCATTAAACATATAAAAGCTCCATTTAATTTGCTCATTGAGTGTGATACTAAAAGTAATCAAAATATTTTCTTTTTCTTAATCTGAAGGACAAAGTTTGGGCAAAAAATTAATCAAGTCAGCCTGTAGCTTACATTCAGTTACATAGAGGCCCATGATTTTATCTTATGACTTAAAAAAGTAGGGGTGTGAAGAGGATTCTAGGTTAATTTGTGAACCCACTGATTTCTTTACAAGTAATCCACAATAAATTCTACACCCAAAACTGGGAGCTAGATGACCCAAAGCAGTAGCTCAAAGTAAATAAGAAAATTCTAAATTTTAATGCTCAAAAACAGAAATTAAATTCAGGAGGACATTTTTATTCTTTTTTTTCTTCCAGCAGAACTGAACTAGTGACCACAGAAAGAAACAGGAGTCTTTTAGTTGAGAACACACAGAAGAGAAATGATCATAGGAAGTGGGTACTTGGAAACCCTCTGAGATTAAGATGGGTGAGCACCTGATTGAAAGAATATCTGGGGGGGGGTCAAAGACAGAAAAATTCAAGAAAAAGAACCTTATAGCTAAGTTAGGAACACAAAAATAAAAAGTACTTAAAACTACTAGAACCTCACTAGAAGAGTTGAATATTAAACATGAATCTCAATGAAGCCTGTTTTAAAGTTTCCACATCAGATTAGCAATGCCATGGACCAAAGTGTGTCCCCCCAAAATTCACATCTTTTTAAAAAATCAACCTTTTCAGGTTGAATAAAATTTATGTTTTGAAACCCCAATTCCTACTATCTCAGAATATGATCTTTAGAGACAGGGCCTTTAAAGAGGTGGTTTAAGTGAAAATGAGTTCATTAGGGTGGGCAGGACCCTAATGCAATCTGACCATTGTCTTTATAAACAGAGATTAGGACACACAAAGAGACACCAGGGATGACTGTCCCAAAGGAAAGACCACGTGAAGTGGTAGCAAGAGGGTGGCCATCTGAAAGTCAGGAGAGATACCTCAGAAGAAACCAACCCTGCCAACACTTGATCCTGAACTTCCATTCTCTAGAAGAGTGAGAAATATATTTCTGTTGTTTAAGCCACACAGTCTGTGGTGTTTTGTTATGGCAGCTCACGCAGGACTAATACAAACAAGGAGCATAAAGCAACAGAGAAGCGATATTTGGGATTCTTGTGTCTGCATCCTGCATTTACCACCCACAGCAAACTGTGATCATGGCATGTCCTGATTTCTTGCATCTTCTACCACCTCCACGTAGAACACATAGCTGAAATTATTTCTTTTATCAAGCTATTGAGCATTCTAAAAGGATATGTATCAAAATTTTCAAGACAGTTCCTAGTCCAAGACTGAATGAATGAATAAGTGAATGGAATAAAAATGGTAATCACAGCAACAGCCAATATCCACTGCAGCCTGATATGCATCCAGTGGTTTTAAGCCTTGACATGAATTACATCATTAAGCCCTACTGTAATAGCAGGATGTAAGAACTACTAGTAGCCCTACAGACAGAAAATTAGCAACACAAAAATATGAAGCAGACTGTTCAAGTCCACAGGGCTAGTAGATGGAAGAGCGGGAAGACCAAGGCCAAGCTCTTATTAGTCTTCTACTCTGCACAGAAGAGAAGTGAATCCCGGACCAGTTAAGAAGATATCACGACACATAAGGACACCCAGGACCTATGTTTCTGTCCTGTCTGTGTCTTGGTGTGAGAAGAATTAGGATACTTGTTGATGAAGTCAAAATAAAGGAAAAAAGAATTATAGAAAGGCAATTCCTCTAGCTTTATGTCAATATACTCAATTATAAACATTAATATATATAGTCCACATAGAATAGTTCAAGTAGAAAGGAAAATGGGTAAAAAGGAGACATTTATAAAGAGTCATGACTTTGGAGATAGACACTATTTCAATAAGGCCAAAAGGAGTGTGGAAAGTGAACAGAAATGAGGGCACTGATCAGAGGCTAGATCATGAATGGTCTTGTATATTATACTAAGGAGTTTATATTTTATTCAGCGGCTACTGGATATCATCTGTTTGCATTTTTTATATCCCTAATTAAAGGCAATGTGGAAAATGAATCAGAAGGTTAAAACTGGAAGCAGAAAACCAGGTGTTTACTATAGTAATTGAGGTTGTGAGGGCCAAGTTATAGCAACAGAGATAACAAATGTGGGTCAGGCTCAGTGGATCAGCCTGTATTCCCAGCACTTTGGGAGGCTGAAGTGAGTGGGTTGTCTGAGCCCACGGGTTCAAGACCAGTCTAGGCAACTTGACGAGACCTGGTCTCTACAACTAAAAATCAAAAAATTAGCCAGGAGTGGTAGTGCATGCCTGTAGTTCTGGCTACTTGGAAGGCTGAGGTGGATGGATTGTTGAAGCCCAGCAGGTCGACCCTGGAGTGGCTGTGAGTGTGCCAACTCCAGCCTGGGCAACAGAGTGAGACTCCAATTCAAAAAAAAAAAAAGAAAGTGAGACAGATTACAGAATGATTTTTTAGGTAACACTGTCAATTCAGAGACCACTTGGATTGCAGAAGAATGAAAGGGAAAACAGAGCCCAGAAACATAACATAAGAAGAGTAAAAACCTCAAATGCCAGCAGTCTTCAAGTAGAAAAGATTTATACAGAAAGCAAACCAAGTGTACTATAATAGGGAGTGGCAGAGATTGTGACAAACTGAAGAGAGCATGGCCCTTCTAAAGGGGATGGCTGCCACCCACCTGCAGCCAATGTGAAATGTGGAGCTGACTACCAAATCTCCTAAATTTTCAAGAAAAGTTTGAAATCCAGATTCTTGCTTGAACTTTGTCTATTTTAAAGTGTTAATAAATCACTTCTCTAGCAAATAAACCATGTCTGTGGGCCCTGTGTATGTGGTTTCCTTGTGTGATTTCATGTTAAAGATCAAGGAGCACAGGCTTTGGAGCCAAAGAGAATTGGGTTCAGATACCATTTCTGCCCACTAAACTGTAGGACTTTGGGCTAGTACCTAATCACTCTGGACTTCAACTTCTACATTCATGGAACAGAGCTATCAATGCCTACAACTTATGCTTTTCATGAAGTATAAACGCAAAAATGTTGCCAAGTATTTGGCACAGTGACACTTTAGTAGTAAGTGTTCAATAAGAAGAAGCTATATTTATAATGTGATTCCCAGGTCTCCAGATTGGTGGATAATATGGATG